CAGGCGCGGCGGTTGACTGAGCATCTGGGGGACGCAAACTCGCGTCTCCATACGCCTCCCGAGACTGAGCCACGCGTGCGTTGGCAACCCAGCAGCCAAGCCCTTTAAAAGGCCGGTGTAGTACTCCCTCTTTGTTAGAAGAGAAAAGGCGTCTTTGAACACCAAAATTTGGCGTTCCCTTATGACGCCAAAATTTGGCTGTTTTTCGTATAAGACGTCAGACCTTGGCGTCTTAAGAGGCCAACCAATTTTAATTTATTAAGTAAAATAAATATATTTTTTTTTCAACACAGTAATCGATTTATTTTACTAAAGATTCGCCACTAGACTACTTTCGAGAGTTTTCCTAGCTGCTTTAGACTTACAAATGCGTTAATTGGTCCAGTCTAATCTCACCGCGGAGGGCGGAAATGGGCCGACCAGTTTCCGTTTGATTGATATCCCCCCTTCCGCCTGTTCCCGACCATCCCCCTCCGACGCTGCCTCTGCCCTGCCCTAGCTGCGGTCACGATCGGTATATATACGGGGATGGACGCTGGACATGTCATCATTCCACACTGCCAGCTCCATCGGTAGCAACCATGAACACCGCCGTAAGTAGTTATCTTTACATAAAGTGATTGAAAAGAGTTTTCTTGGCAAATATGATTAGTTTCCACGGTATCATGAGAAGTGCTTCTCATTAACCCTTGCCATGTAAAACCCGGGAAAGGTGGGTGGGGGTGGATGGTGGGGTGACCTGCACTAGCAACGGTAATGACCAGACTCTGTGCATGCATCACCCAGCGGGGGGCTCTGCCTAGCCGGATAGTGATAGTATGCTTTGGATGTCGCGAATGTGTGGCATACAGCGTTGCGCGCCCCCGAGGGCCCGCCCGAAGGCCCTCCCAAGCTCCACAAGGTCACCGGCTGCCCGGGGCTGCTCGCCTTTGGGCCCGGGCCCAGCCCACCGCAGCAGCAGCAGCAACGCCAACGCCTGCCTGGTGCGGCCAGGCCCGGCGCGCCACGCCCCACGGCTCTGCGGTCGCAGAACGACCTGGCCTCCCCCGTGAAAAAAAAAGGGCCGCCCTCTCGGAGGGAGGGGAGAGTGCGGTGCGGACCGTGCGGACTCCCTCGTTGACAACCCTAACTTACCTTCCTCTCTGTGTTTCAGGTCGCCCTCCTGTTGGTCGCCCTGAGTGCCGCGAGCCAGGCTCGCCCCCAGGGCCCCTACCCTGCCGCGGGCGTGCCCTCCTTCGCGCCGTCCCCGACGGTGTACAGCGTGGCGCCCGCTCCGGCCCCCGTCCAGGTCTACTCCGCGCCAGCACCCACCGTCAGCTACGCCTCGGCGCCGTCCGTGTCGTACTCCGCACCCGCGACGGTCTCCTACGCGGCAGCTCCTGTAGTGTCCTACTCGGCACCCGCCCCCGTGTCCTACTCTGCCCCCGCCCCTTCCGTGAGCTTCGCCTCCGCCCCCGTGTCTTACTCTGCCCCCGCTCCATCAGTGAGCTTTGCTTCCGCCCCCGTGTCTTATTCCGCTCCCGTGTCCTACTCTGCCCCCGCTGTGTCATTCGCCTCTGCCCCCGTGTCCTACTCGACCTCGGGCACCTCTAGCAGCTACAGCCCGCCCCCTGCTGTGTCCTTCGCCTCCGCCCCCGTGTCCTACTCAGCCCCTGTCTCCTACTCTGCCCCCGCCCCCGCTGTGTCCTTCGCCTCCGCCCCTGTGTCCTACTCGGCCGCCCCCTCGAGTCACATCGTGACCCCAGCCACCGAGTACGGAGCGCCCACCTTCTAAGTTATTTGTGTTTGGCAACGTGTTTTCTGCGGCGACGGCGGTGTAGTTATACTGACTACCGAAGACACCCCATGTACCAATGATGGAGACTGCGCAATCAAAATAAATTTTTGAATCAATAATCTTTACGACTAAAATTTTTTACCCTTCCCTTTTTTGAAGAAAGTAGAGATTTACAATGTTAGACAGGCAGTTTCGACCACAGGACAAACACTGTAACTCTTAGAGAGCCTGGCCAAAATGCGTCACGTGGTTTGGGTACGGCCCCCGGCCCCCTACCCCTCTCCTCCTCCCTGCGCCTTTCTTAAAACGTAAACAAACAGTGAAAATCCGCGTCTTCAGCTCAATACCGATAATACTTACCCGTTTTATTTATCATAGGATTTTAATACTCAGAATTTTAAGGTGGACACCACCGCGCGCTTCGATATTAATCGCAAGGGATGGTGCTTGATTGTTTCCGGTCCGGACCGGAGTATTGAATTGTCCTGTTCTGATTATTGTAGGAGGTTAGTGTGCTCCAGTGTCTACATTTTTACACTCAAATTGTAAGTTTTTTTGGAGACCGAGTAAATGACCCTCTGTAATGTAAACTCTGCTCACTGGGAAGCTTTGTTTAAAAGGTGTTAAATGGGTACACTCCTCCCTTGTATTCAGTATGTTAAATACTGTTGGAGGTCCTTTGCAATTCAAATGGGTGAACTTGTCATTGTATGATGCATATGTCATATATTTTACTCTATATTAATCTTATGGAACAGCAAAATGTATTACTTCTGGTTGCGGTGGGTGCTTTCATAGTCAATGGAGGGTTTTAGCTTTAGTTGTGTAATCTCCTGAACAATCATTCAATCAATTTGCGTTGCAGCTAAATTGCAGCTGCCCTATTCACTACTGTCCTAATAATTGTGCTAAAGGTATCTGTGAGATGTGCATAGCATATGGGCAGAGGGATATGTTACGTTCACTTCATGCTTAAGTTCAGTGCCAAATTGGTTGTTAGAAAGGCCATGGTCATTAGGAGTGTTAGGCGAAAGGCATTTAAAAGTGTTTTGTATTATTGAATTATTTGTAACTACAAGTTGTTGATTGTTGAGTAATAAATGAAAGCAAGCATTAAAACGTTGCACTAAAAGTACCGTTTCATATGAATGCAGGAACACAGCCCGGAAACGTTCTTGACCTGAGCAATGGAGTCTATGGAGTCATTTCACCCATAAGAATAGGTGAGTTGACTTGACACTGGTGCAGTTTGCCTCTGTACAGACTCTACAAGGAGCTTCCTTTGGTGTGCATCAAAAGGTGGTTTTTAATGTTTTTTGTGGTGCCTTGGTCATTCCCTGACAATTTCAACCGCCCCGTCAAAATCCAGGCTGATTTATATTCATTACTTATCTTGATGATTTGGAAAATTGCTGGAATTGGTTTGGATTGGTCAGGAGACTCCCCTTTCACTTGCTCTGTCTAAGTATCCTGGTGCTGACCCACTACAGCACAGTTCTTCGTTAGTGCGCTGAAGGCAAACATCCCACAAGTTCAAGCGACCACCACTTAAAACTCAAGTTTCTCT